GAATTCAGATTAAGTAAGTTCTGCACAACTGTAAGTAGTTACTCCAACAGCATGACTCGTATGGTTTGATGACTTTGAAGATTTTATGCAAAATTGTCATAAGGTGCCTGTAACTAAAGAAATTCTATAAAAACACATAAAATAATATAATGAATGGCTCTGCCTTAAACTCGTTTGTACAAGAAACTCCAACTGTTATTTTTGTGAGGCTTCCATGCAACAGCAAACAGAATATGCTGCAAAATCCTGGGGTGCTGAGTAGGGTGTTTAGAACAAGTGTCCCAAGACGATGCCTGCCTTGGTAGGAACAAACAGCTCACCTGGAAGAAGGTGCTTTCGGAGCACTGCCTCCACAGGGACTCCGACCGGGGTTTGTTCTGGCAGTATTTCTCATACATCTGGAAATCCTCTCGCTGTAAGGGAAGCCGAAAGGCAAGTCATATGCATGCACGCAAACCTGCTGGGCAGCCAAATAAGGTGAACCCGCAAACTGTAAACTTGCTTTTATCTCTGCTGACAACTTTTTAGTATCTAAAAGTCACAGAATTTGGGTAAAAAAAAACCACTGCTGAGAAAGACAGCAGACCGCAGTGTAGTCACGACTGCTGCTCTCTCCCATCTGCTGCTGGCCACGCACCTACGCTCCCTGCCTTGCTGTTGGTATTGCGTATCAGAAGCATCTTACTCAACTGACATAACTAAGATGTTGCAGAGTGTGACAAATCAGGAGAAACATTGGCCTTCAAGTCTGCTTTATATGTGAAAATGAGTCACCCACCCTGTCTAGGAAACAAAATCCCACTCTCTCGGGTGCTCCCAGGCAGCTTTCCAAACTGTGCAGGAAAATTCTGCAAGAGACGGGAGAAGAGATAAAATCCAGCAGTGAACAAGGCAGGGTTTGGGTATTTAATGATTATAGGAAATCAGGCTGATAAAAAGGGGAATAGAGCCAGCATCATACTTGTTGTGGAAGTCATATATCTCAGGCATGTTTCCGAAGAGGACGTCCTTCCTGTTCCTCAGCACGGGAGGCATGAGGATGACCATGGCAGGATTATCCATCTCAGCTCTGTAGCCCTGCGGGATGCAAAAAGGGCTCATCACTCAGTTGGTAATGCCATGGCTTGGCATCTCCTCAAAGGCAGATGAAAAGGGGATGTGAACAGATCTGCTTTATTTCAAAGTACAAGCCCCCTTTTATTTCCTTATTTTTATCTCTAAATCCCTGTCTTTCTGTCCCTGGGAATGTTGGGTTGTGGTCCAACACAGGATGGCTTGGGATGGCTCCTGCAGGGCTGGCCAGTACTGCAAGATGCTCTTTATTCACCAAAGGCAAGTTGTAGCCACTTTCTCCTCGCTATGGCCTGACTGTGGGAGAGGTCCTGGCGGAACACCTGCCTGGGCTGAACACATCTGCTGCTATGATTGTGGGACACAGGAGCGACAACGTGTTTGTACGGCGTACGCAAAACCTCATGAGAATCGGTGTATGAGGTGAGTTGTTGCAAAGCAGAGATGGCTTGAGATCAAATACCAAAATCAATGGGCTTTTTGCTCTTGTACAAGACCCGCTGAGCACCAGGGTCTTGCTCTCCCTGATGCCTCAGGATTTCTGTCCTCCGTGGCTCCTCCTGCCTCTTGAAATCACAGCCTCCCAAGTAGGGAGGAGCTGGAAGGGACACTACTGCACTACAAATTGTTGGGTAGAACTAGGAAACAGTGCAAAGCTCCCCTCAGTAACATCACATCCCTGCACCAACAGAAAAACATTCATCAGATGTGGTAAACTTCCTAACTGTAGGGTAGGGAGAAGGCATGGCCAGAGCTCAGGACCATTACTGCAAAGGAGACCTCAAGAAGGCCATTAGCCACAGCTCAAACTGGCCACGCTAGTCACCAAGCATTGCACAGAACTGAGGCCCTTTTAACACGAGTAGCAAAAATATTCGCAAAAGTATATTCAGTATGTACAGCACATCTTCTTTGGCTTTCCAAATTAACCTCTCACCACATTCACTATGGTTGGAATCAGTATTCCTTATACTAAGCAGGCATTTTGTAGTTCATTAAGGATGCAGTAGAAGATAAGTATCTGGAAAATTAGTCATTTATATTAAACCACCGCAAGCAGGCTTCCCTCTTTAAAGGAAATACTATTTTCATAAAACTTCAGTCTATCTGCCCATTTTTCTCTATCTAGACTTGATATGCACAGTAATAAATCTGCGTACCTGCCAACTGCTTTACCACAGAGAGTGTGGTTTAACAAAAAAAAACCACCAAAACAATCATTGCAGGGCAATTACATGTAACTACCTGCAGTCCACCAGATTTATATCCTGCTTGCTCCTGGGTGAGAGAAATGCAAGGGCGGGGGGGGGGAAGAGCTATTTAACAGCCAGTTTGTTTTGGCCATCAGCAAGAGTTATTTTGGAATAAAGTAGAAGTGTCTAAAATGGCAGGATAAGAAATTATAATCTGTTTTCTAAAGAAATGTGCTTTATATATTCACGAACTTGAGACAGAATCCTCCCAAGGATAAAACACAAGCCTCTTTTTTTTGTCTCCAAAAGGTAAAAGAAATTAGGGAACAGTTAAAAATAACAGCTTTTTGTACATCTTTCCAGCCACTGATAAAACTAATTACCAGTGCTTTTGTGTACAAACAGAAGGCTTCTCCCTCATTCTAGATGAAAAGCTCATCCTGATACCAACTGTTCCTACAGATGCCTCCAACAAAGACAAGTTAGGGAGAAAACTTGAAAATTTATGACTAGCTTGGGATCTGACAGTTTGGTAGAAACCTGCTCCATCACATTTTGCTTAGTTTGACAGAGTGGCAGGTGCCCTTTTGTACAAGTCACCGGGGAACAGTAATGAGCAATCTGAAGAAGTCACTCACCGTCAAAACAGTGAAGAGCTCCTCTACATACACTCTCTCAGTTTCTATAAGCTCATTTATGACATGGCTAAAGAAAAAATAAAGAAGTATATTATTTTTATGTCTGTAAAAAAAACCACAGGTAATCAGTGTGGTTCAACTATCCCAAATCACAGTGTGATCTCATAATCAACCAACATAGGGATGACGTAACAGGTAAAAGCACAAGAGATGACACCTAGGTCAGGTTGGAGGAACACATGGATGGGCAAGGATTAGCCAGAAATAAACATAATTTTGAGTGATGTAAACAGGATGAAAGCTTACCCTTTTAGTATATCTAAGTTGTCGTCACTGTCTGAAATAAAATACTGCAAGGAATTTCGTTTTTCCTGATAGTCGTGCATTACTTCGATCTGGAAGAGAAATGGGATGCCCTGGGAAGAGCTGCAGGGGGGTCGCTGCAGAGGCAGGACGAGCCCAGCCCTTGATCTCGGCACGGGAACTCCTTGGGGAAGGATGTCATACGCTTCCTTTTAAGAAATCCTTTGTGACACAAAACTTTAAAAGGGCATAGCGTATAATGGGTAGCCAAATATTCCCAGAAATTACTCTGCTATATAAAATCTGAAAATGCTGGTAACATAATTCATTATTGCAGAGACCAGAGAACAGTTTCCACAGGGGAAATATCTGCAGATGGGGAGTTTTCCAAATAGACATCACTGCTACGCATCAGGGAACAACACACAGAAAATCGATATCTGTGACTTGGAAAAGCAATTTGAGACAGATCTCAGGTGCTGGACCAATCCAACTAAACCATATGGATACGAAAGGGTTGGGTTTGGGTTTTGTTTATTTTAAGGGAAAAAAAGAAGAAAGCATCTTCAAAACCAAAGTCTAAGTACAATCAGTTTTTAGAAGGGTTTCAGTTTTTCAGTGTATAAAACTCATTCAGATTTCATGAATAATTTTTACCTTGCGAGAGCTTGGAGTTTTTCTTGATGTTTTCTTCCCAGGGAGAGAGAGATCAAATGAAAATTTCAAACTGGAATTAAAATCCACACCTTGGGTAGAAAAAAACATAATTATGTAATGTACATCTGTAGTGGAGATGGTTCAGACAGAAACTAGTAAGTCACTAAGAAAAATGGGATACATGTTAAGGATGAATAATTACTTAGCTAATACTACAAGGCAACTGACAAAATAAAAGGGTATCTATCTCAAACAACAATACTAATACCAAATAGCACAAGTCACACGGATGGTCATAAAGGCCAGAAAGTAGAAAGTAATCAGAAAAAAAAAAAAAGCCCATTAAGTGAATACTGTAATCAAAACCTAACAAAGTCTGTGAAGCCTGTGCAAATGATAGAAAACAATAAAATCAAATAAACTACCAAAAGGAACATCATCTACTGGGATACTGTTTTAAAGTCCTTTTATGAATGTAGGGCAAGATGCTCAGCTGGTATAAACTGTTTCTCCACCTTGGAAGCACTTATTGATATTGTCAGTAAACAATTACAAGTTGTAATACTTTGGCTTACAGAGGTAAAGTGGAAGCTTAAAAATAAAACATCAACTTCCCCAATGAGTTATACAGCATCTTTCAAATACTGCTTACTCCTGAATAGTCAATATGGCAATTCTTCACCAAAAAGGTCTTTTCCCCCAACATGAATGGCAATAACAAATTTCTCCAGCATCGCACTGGCTCCAGCCTCAGTGACAGCTCCGTGTGCCAAGCTGCAGCCCCAGTGGCTGCACCAAATTCTGAGATGGACCAAAAATAAACACATTCTGATGTGCAATATTCACCTTATTTACAAACAGAAAAAAGAGGCTAGTGAAGTTAAAAAAAAAAAAAAATGTAAAAAAGTACTCATAAACTATCTTTCCATCGGAGTGAAAAAAGGTATCACAGCACATGAGAAAGCAACAGCAGCTGTGTCTAGCTCGAGGGTTTGAACAGCACTGACACCAAAGAGCCACCTTTTGTAAAACAGAAAATGTAGGGAGAAAAATGGATGCAGAGGAATGCAAACCCATGTGGAAAGCAGGCGTCCCATCTTCAGATGGGGCTGCTGTAAGATCAAGCTATTCGGTATTATCACACCAACGAGGCCTTAGACCTCCACATGTACACATGCCAAATGAGGAAGGAGAGAGATCTGGATGCTGGAGAGGAGAGCAAAGGCGTGCGTGGGGTGTGACCCATGATGGACAGGAAGACCCAAAAGAAGCAAGGGCTTGCCAGTGGTCCTACTGGGAGGCTCCCGCTGGGAGGAACGGAACATGGATGGGAAGTCAGACAGGAGATGGTCACCAGCTCCAGCTCGGCGTTCTGTTGCGAGAATGACTTTACTCCAGCCCTCGGGCTCTGCCGCAGCCTGCCATACCGCTTTGGCACATCTCACTACGCTTTATGGCTCAGGACAGGATAGGTTTACTCTTTTTTCCCCCAAAAAAAGTGGTTTCAAAATTAGAACCACATTTATCAGACAGGCTTCAAATCCAGGGCAAAGATGAAAGAGGAAGTATCTGTCCTCAGACAGAAAAAGAAGGGGCGGGGGGGGGGGGGCGGGGAAAAGAAAGAAAGAAAAAGAGGACAAAAGTCATGTGCTCAGAGGTGGTTTGGTTTCAATCCATGCCATAAAACCCATCCATCTCAAAGCACTCCCGGCAGAGCCCAGCATGTGTCTTTGACACTGCGCATCACGCCAGCAGGCCTGCAGCATTTTGACGTTTTGTGTCAAACAGAGGCCTTATTAAAAAGCCCTCTTGGCATGATCTATCCAAAGAGGAGCCTTTTGTCTTTCCCTCCTTGCTGGCTATGCTCATTTCACCACACTTGATCATCTCTTTCAGGAAGAGGATTAATGCAGGATACCTGTGCTTTGCAGGCGACTGAGCGCCTTTGCTAGAAAAACGTGCATCCCATAAAGGCATGAAATAAGTCCAGCCAAATAATGATGGTCTCACAACGTCCCACGGAGGTGGCCACCCATTTACCCCTACTCTTTGAGTCAATAATTCCTCCTTAACACTTCCTCATTTCTAGAAAGCTGGAAATGTTAGATTAGTTAAAACAGGCAATACTCTAGTTTAAAGGCTCAGAGCTTTTTTCCTGCTTGAGGAAAGGGGTCAGAGAGCAGTGCAGTCTAGTGAAGGAGGCATCAGCCTCGGAAGAAGAAATTTGGGATTTATTTGCTGCACTGGCTTGCATCTTGAGTAGCTTAATTCCCCTTATTGCATCTAGCTTCACTCCCCTCCCTCCACTACCTTGGCTATTCCCATTAGTCACTCCCTGAACTGGAGCCACTTTTACTGTTGTACGACACCTGCTACAATTCACCGTAACCAATATTCATTAATTCATCATAAAAGTTTTGTGTTAAAACACAAATGTTGCATTGCTTTATGCAGTCAGACCATGGAGTTTAATATCCCCACACAACGTAGCAAGTCCGTGGTTTAAAATACATGGATGTTACTTTGGAATACTTTTTAATTCTGATACATACAGGGCTGCCAAGGATGAAAGTTTTAATGCTATCATTTAAAGCTAACATTGTGCCACATCCCATTACCAAAATCGGGGCAGAACATTCAGTTCAACCAGAATTTGTACCTTTACGGGCATTAATTATTCCACAATTGGGATTTAAGGAAGACGTCCTCAAGGAATCAAAGAGAGTTAAGCATCCAGCTCATTTCTGTTCATGAGATTTGAGCTGCTCATTTCTCCAAGCTCCTTTGCAAACATCAATCTAATTTTATGTCAGTCCCAGCTCAAGACAGCCACAGAGGATAGCTATGCTAATAAATTTATAAACCTTGCCCTTTTTCCCTGTAGTACTAATTCACCAGTTTCAGCCCAGTATGATGCCAGTAAAGCAGAACTGGAAGTATGCGCTGTTTACAGCTCTCTTTTTTCACTGAGTATGAAGTAAAAATAAATACCAAGCAACCAGCCCCATTCTTCACACAGGTATGGGAAGCTAGACACAAAAATTGGAAAGATAATAAATCATCTCATATACATTTAGCACTACACAACAACTCTGTATCAGACAGCAAGGTTTAGCTGGTTTCTCAAAACTGTCCTTAGCCTTGCTCTTCCTGCCTCAAAGCAAAATTGTCACCTGAAAATACCATAAATTTAAAATATTTTACCATGTTTAGGAGAAAATAATGGTGATTTTGATCTCGGTGGATTTTCTGGCCGAGGGGCTACTAATTGGACGGGCCGCACGTGCTTATCCAACAGCTTCTTGAAGCAAGACTGACGATTCTCAAACATGCTTCGAACGTTTTCAAGCTTGACCTGCACTGACTGTATCTGGCACTGTAGAGAGTGAAAAAGACTCCTGTGATCAAATAACTACCATTATTTTGCACTTTGACCCAAAACAGAGGACTATAAAGCCGACAGCACTGCAACCCAGTCCGATCTTGCTTTTTTCCTTGTATAACAAGGAACTGGAGGGGTTGCTTACCTTCAATTCAGATGTTAAGACTGACTCAAAATCGTAGTGTAGGGCTTGGGGATCACAGTTTAAGTAGGCTGAAGAGCTTTCAAGAAATCTTTCTATGTCCTGGAGAGCTTTCTGAGCACCTTCCTTAGACTGGCACTTATCCATCTGCTGGTTGGCGAGCAGGTAGGCACCTTCGTCACAGCACTGCAGAGCCTGGTAACAGCACAGGGCAAACACAGGGAGCAGGACCATCAGCGGCACCCCTACTAAATCAAGGTTCCCATGAGGAATATCGTTTACTGGATCTCTATTTTCAACATGGAGCTAATTAGCACTCCTAAAGACCTCAGCAGCTATTGCATTTTGATTAGAACGTAGAAAAAACACATTTTTTTCCTGGAGGGTAACTGCAGTCCTCAACTGCTATCAACAGATACCCAGCCAAGTCGTGCTCCCACTTGTACCTAGATAAAACCAGTGGTATAACTGACACAGAAGCACTATTTAGTGCATAGTTCAACCAAATGATAAGCAGATCTTTATTTATCCAACTTAGAAAGCTGAAGAGGACACTACAGAGTTTACAATGAGACAGGTGGGTTTCTTGAGATAAATGCCTGGCTCAGTGCAGACCTGAACCATGAGGAACGATCAAAGTAATTGCATTCATGTTTTTTTAAAAAAAAAGAAAATAAGGATTTTAAATTGCAGTTTAAAGTTCAACACTTAACATGCACAGGCAATGGGTGAATGCCAGGCTGGGGTTCAGTTGGCACCCGCACACCATGGTGTGCACAGGCGTGAGAAGATGCTGCAGCCAAGAACGACAGAAGACCTCCGGTGCTGTGAACAGGAAGGGAGGTCTTGGAGAGCAGGACCCCAGTGTGCTCCAGCAGAGCCCATGGGCTAGACCATGAGCACCAAGCAGGACTGCAAGGAGCCCAGGAGAGGACACTGCCCTGCAGCCGAGCAGCTGCCAGGGAATCGTCCGTCCCCACAGATTAGTGCAACATAGAAGTGGAGCATACAAGGAGAAAAAAAACCAGTTTCCTAGTCCCCCGAAACAGTGAAATGGAACAGGGTCAGACTTCACTGCTTCTCTTAATGGCCTCAAGCATATTACAGCCATGTGCCTTCTGGCCTAATTAGCGTGAATTTTCCTAAATGAATATTTGATGCTGATTAAGATATCAAAGAGCATTGGAACCACATGACTCCACTTCCATGCTAGCACAGAGCAGCTGTGCCTATCTACCAATCTGTCACCTTATTTTACAGTCAGCTATGTTCATTCTTAATAAATCGCTAAGAAAAAAGGGACTGGAGTTTATCTGAAAGCATTATCTCTATTGCACTGGGTATGAAAACCTTGAAAGTCAATTAACACATGGATGCAGCATGAAAGCGTGACTGACAGCAGCAGCTGAACTTTGGTGCTCTGAATTGCCCTCTGGAGATGTCCACCTCTTTCTGCTGACTATTCACAGCACCAGCAGATACCTGTTTGCTAACTTAACCAGCTAAGTGAGGGGTGAAGCATTCCTCCAGCCTCTGGGGAACGCTTTGCTATCATGAACTGCTGAAGCAAACCCGCAAATTTCAGATGCTTCCAGCTAAGAAGTGGAGAGGCTAACCCCATGGGGAAGCTAACTATTTACTTCTCAGGGTACTGTGTCTCTGAACTCTACCTGCTGAAGGCGGGTATGAAGATCCAAAGTCTTCTGCAGTCGCATCTGCTTCCTTTTGATCTCATCAGACAAGACATCAGAATGGTGCCGCAGCTCGTTGCATTGCTGGCAGATTAAGTTGAGCGCGTAGTGATGATTTGCTGCTAGCTGGTGTCCGTGTAGTATCACCACCTGAGCCTTCCCTATCAGATCCTTCAGCGAAAGGAAGAGAACGGATTGCACGCTTACTGAAATAATGCCAAAATATCTACACGTAACAACATGCGCTTTCTCGTCTTACCAGATTTCAGGTACACATGGAGATGACTGCCATTAAGAGTAGCCAGAATGGGTGGCTTATGCAGGATAAAATAGCACCCATCATCCGGGAAAAAAAAACTTCTGCTATCCAAAAAGAGGATGAAGAATAAAACAGTATTTCACCAAACTAGCAATGCTGTGAATGGCTGCTGGCAACATATTGCTGCCGTCTCCAAGAACTGCACTCTAAAAAGACGTGCAGCTGATGTCCAATTTAGGCACACTATGCTCATAAGCATGAAAGGGAATTTGAGCAGTTAAGGTTTATGGTGAAAACAAATCAGGCCCTTTGCAGCAAAGTTTGATGCAAAGAACACGCTATCTTGTCTGCACATCTTGGTCAGTGTAATGGTTAGATCTTCTCCAGGGTTGGCTTTCTGCTGGGGCTGCTTCCCTGTTGCACCCTGTCTGCCTGTTCCTCCTCCCTCTCTCCACAAACATTTCTTCCAAATGGTCAAAAAAGCCTTAGACCTTCCCCCTAGGACTCTTATTTTCAAAGAAGCCTCTGAAGGTTGTGTCCAGATCCCTCAGGATTTCTCCACTGACCTTGGCCCACTTGCCAAGCGCATCCCTTTACAGAAGTCACATCCTCAGTTGGGCTCCTGTGAATCATCTCTCTTCACTCTTCTTTCCCCTACAGCTCTTAGTCTTCATCCATATGTTATGTTCAAATCACAGACACGTCAAGATAGCAACTTTTTTGCCTCTCCATGTGCCTGGTAACAAGTCTCTGCCTATTAGCACTGCTAAAGCACTTAACATATAAATAATTCTTCTTTCAGCTCATTAAATCCCACGCCTCCCCTATGTTCAGACATTTATCTGCTCTGGATTTTCATGGTGGCTCAGCAATTTATTTTAACTATGATAATTAAATACCCTGTTCCTGGCTTTCAGAGTGATCACAGCATTGCTGTGCAGAGCAAAGACATGAAATCAATCCTTTCGTGCAGCCGCTTACCAACAAATTAGACCCGAACCAGGTAATTTCAGAAAACACTTCCTACGACAAACACAGAACGTGCCTCTTGTGTCTCCTTAGTGCCTCTTTCTGTAAAAGTTTATCTCACCTGAGCCATACCATCAAAATGACCCAAGTCCTTGAGCCTCTGTTTCACCTGGGGCACACTGTCGCCAGTGTCGGGCAGCTCCGCTTGCTGACCCATTAAAAATTCAATGGCATTCTTGACCTAGACACAAAGAAGAAGACTGCTGCAAAAGGATACAAAGCACAGGCAGAAAATCATTCTCAGACCAAAATTAATCACACTTTAGCTAAGACTGCTAAATCCAATAATAAAACTAGCGTACAAGAACTAATTTCTAAATTCAAAGATGCCTCTATCAGCAAAACCTATGCGACCGCAGGGCAGTGATACCTAAATTAGCTCTGAATGAGGAATCACAGTGGTCTCCCCAGGGTAGCGAGCCCTGCCAGAGCCACGGAACAGCAGCATAAATTAAATGCTCTCAAAAAGCATAAAAAACTTCTCTCCTCTCCCCTCCTTTTCATCTCCAACTCTTCCTTCTGTCTATAGAAGTGCATCTGATCATACCTCTTGGAAACTTTGCTCAAACTTCCACAATTGTAAATATTGCTCCATTTTTAACTGATGTTTTTCCCAGAAGCCATCAAAAGCAGTCTCCATCTCGTGCAGCTGACCAAGTAACCTTGAGCACAGAAAAAGGACAGGATTGGAACAATTTGCAAATCGAGGACTAGCAGAGACAGACAAGCCCTAGAGATCACCTATTCAGGTCTTCTGGACTGAAGCTCTCAGGAGAAGTCAACGGATGTGTATATATGACTTGTGAAAATCTCAGAGAGAATTTTAATGAAATCATCACTGCAGGTGATAGCACTTGTGTGAAGCAGTTGTTGCTGTCTCCATTTATCTGAGTAATACCTAGAAGCCTGGCATGGAAGAACCCTGCGTTTGCCCCACAGCCTCATGGTATCAGTGGGGGGGGAAAAAATCAGAGCGGGTCGAAGTCGTTTGACAGAAGTCACCCAGCAATTTCACAGGTCTGGAACAAAACTCTGATATCTTTGTCTTTACCTGTTTGATAGGAGACTTAAGCAACACATCTATGCTTAAATAACTTGAGCGTTTCCACTCAAAAGTCAGGCAAATGAAGAACGTAGTGCACTCACCGATTCACAGTCTCCCAGTCCCCAGGCCTCTCGCGGTGCTGGTCCTGACTGCATTCCCCAGAGTCAGGTTCTTCAAAACTGCTCAAAAGCAAGTTCCCCTCTTTTGTGACTGCTGTAATATCTTCCTGTATAATGCAAAACATTTCTGATTCAGGTTACTTTTTGTGAGGTAAGGAGAAGTCATTTTGTCTTGTCCCTGCCTTAGTTTCCCTGTATGAAACGAAACACCAGTATCCACCAGACCAAAGGACTCCGAGCAGATGTTTTAGCCCCCTTAACGTGGGGTTAGCACCTGGAGCTGGAGGAGGCTGAACTGCAGACTGGTTGTCAGGCTGGGTGGAAACCAGCACACATGAAAACATCAGGACACAAAACGATTCAAGAGGCAGGAGGACAGCACTACCACAGGTCTCTCTTGGTGAGCAGGTGGGTTTGTATTAGATATCTGTCTACAAGTTTATGTATTCAAGCAAGTATTTCTGCTGCTTGGAGGCTGTGCTTCTCCATCAAGGTCATCACAGGAGGTTGTAGGAAGAGCATCCTACAGAGGGACAAAGCTGGGACTGAGATGGCATAGCACCGCTTACTAGAGCCTCTACATATAGAAACAAGTCAGCACTTTCAATATAACCTTCACTTAGAGAGAATTTCAACCCTTGGTGTGTTCATTAGCGTCAGCTGAAGTACTTTGTGCTGTGTTGGGCTCAGTCCCAAAGCAAACAAGCATTTTGGTCAATTATTTTCAGAAAAAACAGACCAAACACAGAGGTGAGAAGGAAGGAGAAAACAGATGGGGCTGATACCCCAAGTTGGAAGAAGCCCTGAAGGAGCAACCCTGTGCACAGCTCCATTGGCGAGCCAACTAATGGAGGAGTAAGAGCCTGTTCTAGGAGATGGCCACACTTCCACTGCAAGAGAAGCAATGTCAAAACCACTTTAGGAAGAAGATTCAGAAAGCACAGACTTGCTTAAATGCCTGGTTGCCTCAGATAGCAACTTAAACATAACACCATCCTCAGGGCAGCAGCCCAGGGGCAGAAGGACATGGCCACAGGAGCTTCTCCTTTCCCCCACACAAAGCATCCGCTGCCGGTCTGCATCCCTATCACTAAAACATCACAGAAGGCAAAACCCCGTCTCCTTTTGATACTACCACATCTAGGAGACTCAAAATGGAAGAGGAATTACGCAGCATGCTTTAGATGGCAGGTGGCTGTTATTTCATCCTCTTACACCTCACCCTCCAGAGCCCTCTGTTCCCCTTTTGATTCAAAGCCTTTCATTATACATATGACAAAGTAGCCCGACTGGCAAACAGGTGTTAACTTGATTTTCCTCCCATTCAGTATATCGAAAAGGTTAATTTCTTAGTTACTCTGTTTAATTAATTTCTGTCATTTTTTCATTGTGTTTGCAACCAGCTTCTGTTCAGCATCACGGCTACATAAATTATTCTAATCGACTCATTATTTGAATTCGGGAATCAGCTGTACCAATCTTGGGGTTGTCATGAGAGAGACAAGGATCCCATGTCTTGCTGTCACCACAATCTGTGCACAGTTTCTCATCTGCTTTCATCTTTCATAGTCTTAGAAGGAACAAAAGAAAAAAGCCAACGGACTTCATTTCAGTCAAACGCCAACGCGTGGTTTTGATATTTGAAATTAATAGACGAGGCATTAAAAGCAACAGATGCCTCGTACTGAGGGCTGCTGTGCTTTATATGCAAATGAAAACACACGACGTGTTTTATTTCTCCACAGAGGAAAGTGTGCATTACTGACTGGTTTATACACAGGACTACATTGTGTAGCCGATATTTGCCCCCAACACTTTGGCTAGAGTCCTAAGCATGAAGTTTAAGTCAGTAAGTCATATTGCAATACATGTAGCTGCTGGTTTATACTACAGCTCTATTCATTTTCAAAGAAGGAATAAAGGACTATTGGCAGTACCTACAATGACACTTTCTACATATACACACACACATTTATACTACACACAGCACACTTTGGGTGTCGTTTTGCACATTTCTTACAGGCAGCCTTCTGGGAACTCAGGGTCACGTGAATGACAAATGATTATAAATGAAAAGACATACACTTCTTTGACTTATGTAAATGAATCCCGTCATAAAGCAAAGGAGCTCATTCTTCAGCCGTACAGCACAGCTATTAACATGGGAATCGTTTCTGAAGCGAGGGTTTGGGGACAGGCCTGTCCTGTCCCCAGAAAGATGCAGGACCAGCAAAGACAACAGCTTGATATAGCAGCAGCTGGCTGCACTAAAACTGCCACTCATTCCTATAATAATATTAATCACAATCAATCACAAATAGGTAAAAAAAAAAAATCTTAAACAACAAATGTTTAAGACAAAACATGAAGGCTCACATGAAGACAGGGATCGCATCATGAATGCTCCGTACCATGTGCTCACACAAAATCTTCACTTTATATGCTCTCCAGCACAGTTCCCTTAAGTCCCCCCAGGGAAGCTGCATCAGGCGGAGGGAGCTGGGGACAAACCATCCCTCCAGCCCTGCTGCTGATCTTTGCATGCAGCTTTCTCCAGCCATGGGGGTGAAGCAGAGGGAGTCCCACCAGGGGCACAAACACATGGGTGACAAAGCCCCCCAGCTGCCCTGCTGCCAGCGAGATGTGCAAAGCCCACAGGAGGAGCACATGGAGGACACCAACTTCTGCAGCCAGCAAGGAGGCGGCAGCTGAGACGGTTTGCTGGATGCTGGCAGGGTAATTTGCTTGAGTGGATGGCAAATGTAAAGGGTAACATACAGAAATAGTCATGCTGTGTTTTATTTTGTCTGTCAACACGTACACACGCATGGGAGGGAAGGAGTGGGCATCAAACAAACAGGCAGTCAAACCCCAGAAATCCCATCTTGCTGTGCAAACAGGGGCTGGGAACACACGGTGGAGTTGCTGATGAGACGTACCTTGAGCTGGTAGTACTTTTCCGTGCGCAGGGCCAGGATGCGCTCGATCGAATACATGTCATCCGGCAGCTCGGTCTCTGCCAGCTCCGTGCCAAAGGATTGTAACATCTGTGCAATTTCCTTCACAGTTAGTGCAAAACTCTCTATCGCCTGGTGGGAGACAATAATTGCAATCAGCTTGCGATTCAGGATATTCCTATGGCTCATTAAGAGTGCGTGAAGAGCCAAGGCTGAGACCTGCAGGGGAACCCAACAGCTTGCTCTGAGAGAGGTGGGTGGGATGTCGACTGCAGATGGAGCTGCTGTCTGCTGCGGTGCATTAGGTAGTAGCCACCAACATGTGGCCAGGTGGCTTTTAGTGCAGACCGAATCCACAACAAGATAATATTGGGCAGAGACACCTCATACTTTGTTTTCTGCCGCCTGTTCTTGTGCACTCTGAGATTTTTCCTATCACATATTGGAGGTCTATAGCAGAAGCCACCACAGGATCCATCCCACATATTCCTGTAATTCCTCTTCTATTATTCTTCTCCTCCAGTTAACCCACACTGGGAACCACCTCCAGGCAGTAGGGCTTTGGAGATGTATTTGGCTTCTTGGTGATGGATGTTTCCAGCTTCGCAAGCCCAAATGGTGGGTTACAAGGCAGTCTGGCACCACGGCCACCTCATCCGCAGCTTCACCAAGAGGACAAGGGATGGAGCTAAGCAGTGTGTCGGAGACAAACTGGAGACAGTGGGATGGAAACGAGTGCTGTTGGTACCTCCCCAGCTGTTGGTACCTCTAAAAGGAAATTTTCACAGCCAGTGGGAGCTCTGGAGGCCAGATGGCTCCCGCACCATGGGGCGAAGTGGTGCTCTCCCACCCCGCTCACAGCTCTGGCTCTGCTTTTGAGAACAGGGTAATAAACCCAAATGTAACTGATCACATTTATATTTTCTTTAAACAGCATGTATTTTCCATAGAAATTCCAGGAAGTGTTTTAGGAGCACACTACAAGGGAATTTTGGGAGAGGTTTTTCATATGGACACTTATCTACCATATGCAGCTATGGTCTGCAAACTGTCCTTCTCCTAGATTAACATTTGTTGTCATTCATTTTGTCATTTTTATCTCCAAGTGTGAGAGCTATGCCATTAGCGCTTTAACACATCGTGTAAAAGAACAAAACTAAGAGCCAGAAATTTAAAAAATTCATTAATTTGGCAGTGCATCAGTGTAAACTGGCACAAAGTTAATGGCACAAGTAATAGCTTGAGTTATTCCAGCTACAGCGTCTTGTGCTTTCGTCTTGATACTGAGCTCCACATCTGCTGGTGTGGATAACGTTGCAGGACCAGGGGCACCACAATGTCTGGTATATTTTTCATTAGTGCTTTGATTTGTTGGGAAGGTAACTGGGAATCCAACCTGCCATTAATCTGGGAGACAAAGTCCCAGTGAAAACTAAGAGTGTACAGGAAGCATAGAAACACACGACAAGGCACAGCTCAGGGAACTACGTGCCTGATTCCTGGCAATATTAAAGGAAAATTCTTGCAAACAAAAAAAATAAAAGGAAATTTTCTGAATTCTCTGCATTCGGACAGGATGCAGAAAGCAGTCTCATTGCCCTGGTTCCCAAATACATCTGTGATATTAATCACATGAAGCAACTATTATTAAAAAAAAAAAAAAAAAGCAGTCTATTTTGTATCTACCATTAAGGGAATTTTAATAAAGACATAAGAAGACAGATCTTTCAGGAGCAGTTTCAAAAGGTGCCTGAGGGAGTTAATCATCCAGTTCCCATATAAACCCATCAAGTGCCTAATGCCACTTGACTCCTTTGCAAATCTGATCGAGGAAATGCAGTTGGCTTCAAGGGTTACTTTCAGCTACCCATTGCTCATTGCCTTACCGAAAACCTTCCTCAATCGATCCCAAAGACCCAAGAGCCCAGTGCTCAGCCCCGGTACGTACAGTCCTGAAGATGACCCACTCGCTGTGGCAGTACTCCAGGGTGCCTCCAAACTCTGGGGTTAATTGCTGTTCATCAATGTACGTCAGCAGGTCGCTAACCGAGCTCAGCATAACAACCTACAAACAAGGCAACATCAGTAGTTTGGTTGATCATCGCTTCTATCCAAGTCATACACAGACCAGGCCTACAAATCTTCTATGTATCTAAAAATTGGGTTTACTCTAAATATTTTTCTACAGCATGGCTTTCTTCTTATGCTTATGGTTTAACATGGCTTTTACTTTGATGTACTTGACCATTTTTGTAAGCCGACCCTGATCTCCCAGGTGCTTTCTTCCTTAAATGCAAAGCACACTGAGATGCTGCAGTATCTGACTGCAGAACAGAGCTGAAAGCAAAAGTAATGCAGGTTTTTGCAAGGGATGACCAGTAATCCGGAAAAATATATACATTTTAATAAGTTGTGAAGCATTGGCCAATTTCACGTAAATATATACTCATGAGTTTTTGTGTGTCTTGATCTGCCCTGGGATAAGTCATGAATTTTCAAAACTGTGCAAATGACAATCATTTTAGAGTGAAAAAAGCATAGTTTGTGAAAATCATATTATTTCCTAAAGGAAAACATTGTTTTGGTTTGGTTTGTGCATTTGTAATTGCGTCAACTTTAGATTCCATAAACGTACTTTTCTTCTCCTAATCATTCTCAGTATGTCCTATAATCAAGGTGGCTTTAGAGGTCTTGGAAATTTTGACTTGAGAATATAAAACCATTTCAGTTGCTATTTTAGAAACAAATACCAATGTGGTATCAGTATGGAGTTTACACAGAGATGAAAATGGTGATTATGGGTGGAATTCATAGCAAAAGCTTCAGTAGACCTGTCCTTTGCCTTTTCAGACGTAAACAAGTTCCTAAGCATGGTTTTATTCCCCACGGAAGCATGCAGCCTATCTGGGGGATGAGGACAGGCTGAGAAGCCTACCTCCCAAGCCCACCTCCCACTACCACGGACATGCTCTGTGGGGAGCAAACTGAGCTGAAAAATGCTACAGCAGAGATTTGGTGGAGAGATTTGGTGGAAATAGGGCATTTTTGGCAGAGACACTCTGGTTACTCTTCACATAGGTGCCTGTAGAGTGGGACACCACGACCCCTGATCCGAGGGGTGCGGGCAGCCTCCGATCACGCACAGCACAACACCTCTGCAGGCTCGTACCGGTAACTTGAGCAGAAAATCCTCCTGACTGAACCGAAATCCAATGTCAGTGAAGGTGCGCTGGAAAAAACCCGTGGGACGAAGAACCATCACTAAGTGCAAGTTCCCTGGGAAAGACGCCTGCAAGGAAACAGAGATGACATTCAACCTGGGGACACGGCAGGTCCAACAACGCCTTGAAAAGAGAGGAAATCATTCAGATCTCAGTATTTTTTTCTGATTGCCCCTCCTAGCCTTTTCTTATTTTCAAAACAGGAGGGAGATGCCTTAAGTGGTGTAGAGATATGGGACATAACTGCAGGAGTATTGTCCAGTCCCACTTCCCTTTGGAGCAGGCAGGAGTTCAGCCATGCACCTCGGAGGGCCACTTATTATAAACTTTAATACTATATACTGTGTTCAGCGGTATAACTTGGGGAGTGAAATTATGACTTAGCAGGGAACAGAGGGCTGGAACATCGAGAGGAACAACAGACAGATTGAGGAAGCAAAATTTATTGCCAAACTCGCTAATCATCCCATAACTGCATCAAGCGTACTCTTCTTCTCCCTGGTAATTACCAGGCAACATTTAATTTGTGGTAAGAATTTGGAATTTCCTGTCTATGCTGCTGGAGCCTTTTTTCAAGCATATGGTTGGCAGGTGCATTTTTAAATAGATCTGTGGAAAGAG